TTTCCCTGAGATCCAGGTCCAACGAAAGGCTTTTTAGCTTAAGAATTATGACCAAAGAACAACTGAATTTTACGGTGAAAACAGATGTTAGGGATGTGGCATCTATATCTGAAGAGCTCAAATGATGTATCAGGCAAGTTTCTAGAACTACCCATTCCTCATAATTTGTAACAGAAACCTGGGTGGAGAAACCACTGATTATGGGCATGAGTAACATGAAGAATGGTACCTGAATTTCTACTAACAAGTTTAACATATGCTATAAAATGGACAATATGATTCCCATGGCAGGATGCTTTGATAACAAATTGTTTTCTAAATTAAGTTTAGATATGGACAAGAGTTCCAGATACCTTCTATAGGTTTTTTCTTCCATCTCCTAAGGCTCACTGCCAGTTATTCCTAGTCAGTCACCACGCAGAATACTAGAACTAAGGGGCACTGTGATGGGGAACCCTGGCCCTCTTAATGAAAAGCAGCATGGCCCCTTGACGGGCAGGATTTTTGTAGCATAGGCAGTCAGCAGAGTGGGGGTTAAAGAACAGCCCTGTAGCCAGGTCAGCTGACAGGGGCATCACATGACTGGAAGAGGGCTTAGGCTCCAGCTATATAAGCCCTGGGCTGAAGCTGGTCAAGGAGGACAGCATGAGACTTATGGAGGGAAGAGTTCCATACAGCAGCACAGTAGGGCTCCTGCATCTACAGTGGGACTAGAAGGAAGCAGCTCTGCAGGCCTGGGAACAAGGGGGATTACCTTGGGCAGAGAGACTTGTTATGCAGGCAAGTGGCCTTTATTTTACACTAAGCCCAGTGAGGGTTTGGGTGCCCACCAGAAAGCTGAGGTGTTTCGATTTCAGTTACACTGGTGGCTTGGGTTTGGAACGAAGGCAGGGGTGGGCAATTATTTTGGCTAGAGGGCCACTTAATAAGTTCTGGTGAGCTGTCCAGGGCTGTGCACACACAATCTTTCAGGAAATATCATTTTAACAAATTATAGATAAAAAGCAAATCATATACTAAAAATCAAATACCTACTATATCATATTTTAATTTTATTAAAAAAAATAACTTTTGTCCTGATTGCTGTTTTGAGTACTGTATACAGAGGCAACTACAGAATAGCTCCAACCAAAGTCTTACACTTGTACACTGTGGGGGTGCATGCAGCAGAGCTCATCTGGGCAGTGAGGTGCAGGTGCAGTCCACTCCATTCCCCTCCTCCCCCATGCCACTCTGCATGGGGCTGAGCCCCGCCTGCTCCCACCTGGGCCTGCCTGTGCCATGCTCCTGCTGGCATTTGCCCTGCGCCCACCAAACAGCACCACACCCAGCCAGTGCACGCAGCTTCCTGGTAGGGTTCCTCACAGAGCAGCTGTAGCCACCTAGGTATAGCCTGCGTCTGATCCAGTCACACAAGGGAACTTGGCTTGGCCCAGCCCTGATCCAGCCACACAGGGCAGAAAGGGGGTTGGTTTTGGCCCCAACAAGGCTCCGTAGGATAGGGAGCAGGCTTGGCTTAGTCCAGCCTTGTGGGAGAAGGGGACATGGTCCAACCCCATGAGAGGAAGGGGGCATGCCCTGTGCCCAACCTGGCTGGGTGGGGAGGAAGGGGATGTGGCCTAGCCCCATGTGGGTGGGACAGAGGACATGAGCTGGCCCTGAACCAGCTGCCCCAGGAAAGAAGGCGTCGTCTGGCCCCGCAATGAGAAGGAGGTGCAGCCTACCCCCAACCCAGCCACATGGAGGGAAGGCGGCATGGCCCAACCCCAATCTGGACATGCGCAAATGGAGCTGTGGCCTGGTTCTTACCTGCCCTGCAGGACTTAAGATTTTGACAGCAGGGAAGGGTGGCAATACTGCTACTGCTCCTCTGTTGCCAAATTTCCTGACTTGTGGGGAGCTCTGTGAGCTGCATTCGAAGTCTCTGTGGGTCACATTTGGTTCACTGGCCAGAGGTTAAGCACCCCTGGTTTAGCTAGGTTCAAAAAGGGACTAGACAAATTCATGAATGATAGATCCATTAATAGCTATTAAACATGCAGAAATGTAGCCTCTGACATCCCAAAACCAATTATGGTGGGTGGCAGAGGGGTAGGACACTTTAGATACACCCTTTTCATATGCTTTCCCTCAAAAGCATCTACTATTGCCATTATCAAACACAGGAGACTAGGGTAGATGGAGTATTGGTCTGACCCAGTTGCACATAATTTGGTATTATTTAAACAGGAAATAGATTTTATTTTTCTTATTTACTGTATTTACTTGAATCCAAAATAAGGTCTTTTCCCCCCATTTAACATGCAGGGTAGACCCTCACTTTAGATTCCAGTACAAGATGGAGTCTGCTGGAGTGAGGCAAAGATAAGTGGCAGGAGGGCAGAAATTACAGGAGGGAGAAGGGGGACAGACAGAAGACATTCAGAGGGCAGGCAGGGGAGGAAGTTGGGTGAGAGAGGACAGGTAGAAGGGGACAAGGTGTTGGGAAGGCAAGGGGCAGGGGTCAAGTTCCCACCACCTACCATGTAGACATCAAATTCATCCAAACATCTGAAAGGAGATTCAATAACGTCCCACATTGAAAGAATGAAACAAACTGTTGAGAAGGAACGTTCACCTCCTGATAGAGATCTCGTGTCATGCGAAGCAGCCATGTCTCCCTTTCCGGGCTGGACCTGGAATTAAGCCATTCATTTAACTAGTAAATAAAAATATACTTTAATGTTATAAAAATTAACACTTAATAATTAAAAAAACAATACAAACTATATTGTAAACTACAACCTCAATGCTTTCTAAGGAGTTTATAAATTTCAATGTGCATTTGTCACAATGAAACTAAAATCATTAAACTGTATTCAATTTTGGAAGATATTTTTAAGGTCATTAGACATGAATTATCCACTGCTGAAGAAATCATGGAACAGCATTAATTTAAACCAGTAACTTCCCATGTAACTTCCTGCTCAATTTCTGTTTTTAATAATTACTAAGTTCCTGAACTAATGCAGTTATGTTACTAGCAAATCCAAATGATCCAAGTGTAACAGAGAACTGCTTTATCAACGGTGTTTTAACAAAGAACAGTTCCTCTGCAATCATAAATTAAATGAAGAAAACAGCCCTTTGCTCATGGGATTATGATGACACCACCTTTTCCTTTTAATTGTATTCTAAATTTCTTAAACAGTACAAGAAGTCTGCTTTTATTATATATCTTCAAAAATACATGGGTATACCTAATGTGATTTCTGTTAACTTTTTAAAAACAAAGTATTTTATATATCTTTCTTTCTTAGCTTTCAGGACAAATTTAGGATTATTTCTCAGCAAGAATTAGAATCACTCAATAAAATGCATCAATAAGACCAAAGTGGGTCCATGACAGAAGCCAACACTATGTTCTGACTTTATGTACTCCAGTAGCAGAAAGATAATTCAGAACTGTTTTAAAATATAGGACAAGTAGTAACTTTTGTATGTTATTATATAATCTACAGTCCACAAGAACTCATTTTGATTCAATGAGTAAAGAAATATACCAATCACATTTATAAGTAAATGTTTATTATTTGATCTTCATCACCTAAAAAATCTGGCAAACTGTAACTGATTCATGTAAGAAACTAGCTACAAAAAGGTGGGGTGCCATCCACTGACAAGCTAGTCATTGTAAATGCGAGTCCAGTGTTTCCAGGACGTTCCACTGATGTGCCAAATGTGCAATAGCTACTCTTCTTAATTTTCCTAGTTATTAAAAATCAGAATACAAATGAGGAAAGAAAGATTATATATTTACTACATTTTTGCACTTTACCCTTTAAATTTACATTTAAATATAGTTATTTTTATAATAGGCTTTTTTTATACCCCCTGCCTTTTTTTATTCTTATAACATTTCACCCCATTTTTTCTATACCTGAAGTTCTAATCCTCTGACATTTAACTTGCCGTACCTGATGTCAAACAATAATATTATATGATCTTGGCTATGAAATGGAAACCAAGAGCAGTAAAATAATCTAAAAAAACCCCTGTTTTATGCAAAACTGTACTTATAAAGGAAAAGAACTAAAGTATATAAGAGGTAACTGAGCAGAACTTTTTTTTTTAAGTTAAATTTCCAAAACAAATTAAATATTGTTAAATTTAATTTTAGGTAACTATTTATGAAGAAGAAACAAAAACTTACTATTATTGAAAGTGTTTCATTTTTGTGGTCAATATTTAATTCTCCAGAGTAATCTCGATTGTTTAGGAAGTCAACAAAGTTTAACTTGCATCGCAAAGTAAGGGACCTTTTCATTTAAATTTATGCAAATAAAAATTAGGTTAATGTTTTTTTAAAAGACAGGGAAAAGATAAGAACATCATGGATTTTTAGCCAATAAATACCCATTAAGTATTTAAGAAATAATACATACACAAAAATGCAGTACAATTATAATCATCCAATATGATCTTACATACAAGATAGAATGGTGTTATATATGACAGAATCACATCATATGCCTGACAAACAGGTGTATGAGAGTGGTCAGGTTTTACAACATGCTACCTAACAAGTTGTGGAATCTCCATGCTTGGAAACTTGGCTGGGATGGTTTAAGTCAGGGATGATCCTGCCTTAAGCAGGGGGCTAGACCTCTGAGGTCTCTCCCATCCCTACTTTGCTATGATCCTATGCAAGCAAAGGACAAAATTAGGAAATCTAACCCTACGTACCTTCTCCTTTCCCTTCCTAGACACATTCATTCAATTACTAAAATACATCACAATTTAAAGGCTTTCAACTACAGTAAGCTACAGTTAAAACATCTACGAGTTCATCACAACTGGACAAAAGACCTGACTTCTCCCCCAGTCTTATCACTACTATCTGTTCTGCATAATTCTGGAGGTATAGGGGGAGGGGAGAATCCATTCACTCATGTCTGGAGAAGGAGTGACTAGGGTATTTCTACTGTTATAGTTATTGTGCTTTGTCTTTGTGAAAGAGTTTAGTGGTGAAGTGTGCATGTGTGCACAGAGTAACATGAAATACATAGAGCCATCAATTTGCATTTGCTTGCTTTAGTGCTCCTTGTGTTGGCTATATTATAGCCACAACTTTAACTCACACAGCTGCCACAACAACCCAACATATGAGAAATGAATACACAAAACTATTTTTTAACCCTAATTAGGAAAGGTAATCCTATCTACACTAATGGCTGCTTTTACAAAGAGGAATACTTGCTTCAAACTCCTTTCCAATAGAACTCATTACTTTGTCACAGACCCTATTCTTTGTGATTGATTCCATTGGTTCAGAAGAGGAGCTTTTCAGATTATGAAAAAGCAGTTGCTTACATGAAACCCTGGAGCGCCTAAGATGGTTGAATAGTTGCACAAAGATAAACAGCTTTCAAACTGTACTGCTTACTCTGTGAAGGTTTTGTTCTTCTCAGGAACATTCACTTGCTCTGAAATGGAGTTATGCATCTTTTACATGTAGGAGTGGTTAGCCATGTTACTCTATTAATCTAAAATATTAGGGAGCATACTGTGAAGAACACTTACTATAACTCACCAGTCTTCTCCCACTCTATCACTCAGAAGAGGCCCAAGTTTCATTACACTAACCAAGGAGGGGAAAGCTGAGAGATGAGTATCTTTCCTCTAAGGGAAGAACCTATATATTTTCAGTGCCCACTCTGAAAGGGAGTGATCAGTACTGAAGATTTCCTTTTTTAGATTATGTTCAATAATTAGTGCTTTAGATATGATCACTCTCAATGAAGAAAACAATGCAGAGACTGCCTTATTATTACAGGCAGTAAGAAGGAACTAAAAAGACAGCTAGTACTGCTCTCCCCATTTCATGCTGACTGAGCAGTAGCCGAAAAATACTGTGCAGTAGTGCATCACACGACGTACAGTGCTAATACGCTACTGCGCGGTATTATTGGATTACTGCTCTTTTATTTAGTACTTGCCAATACAAGTCCTAAATAAATGCATAGTAATAACTATGCAGTAGTGTCCCGTGGAGACGTGCCCAATAGCACCTAAGGTGAAGACATGGTTTTTGAAGTCCCAGTCAAGAATCCAGTTTCACATACAGAAGATACATGTGTATGAAACATCACTCAGACCTCCCAGTCAATTAAACCTGCAAGTGTCTGAAAGAGGATTGCTAGAAGGCAGCCAATAAAATAATCATCAAGGCATATTCTAATCTCAGACATACTTCACAGTAAATTTTTATTTCTAAATTCTTCAGAAATTAAGGTGACTAGCATCCAAGCCAGTGATTCTTAACCTTTTTAGACTCAAGATACTCCTCATAATATCAAGGTACCTTAAACAATGTCAGCTTTCACTCATTTCTTGACTAGAGCAAAATAATAGGGCAATTCTTCTGTTGCAAAGAACTCAGAAACACTTACCAGGTCAGAACATTTTGGATTAATTTTTTAACTTTCTGGGTTTATCATGTAAATCATGCTTAACTGATTTTACACCTAACAGTACTAACCTTGCATGGCACTCTTAACAAGATCTCACAGCACCCTGCTTGACAATTGATGATCTAAGCTAAGCCCTCTGATAACATTCTGTACACAGAATTTAGTGGAGGAATTAACTGATGTCTACTTGCAGCTAAAAATTGAAATCTTGGATAAAATATTGACGCCCTTCCACAATTTGAATTTTGTTTTATTGTTTCAGAGAAGAGCAAATAAAAAAGTAAAGATATATACAAAGATTTACTGTGAAAGGTCCTGGGAAATGCCTAAATTTCTATGATCTAACAATGTATGATAAATGTTTAATTTGCCCGTGTATATAATTTTACATTTGAACCACTAGCATCACTCACTTTCTGAACTTCTTGTACATGTGGCATCTGTGTGACATTATTTCTTCAAGCAATGTAATAAATTTCTTCAAATTCTTCACTTTACTCTCTGAATCCTTGTATTTTTCCTTAGCTTCATAAAACTGCCTGTTTTACCAACAGAATAAGTGTAAAATTAAGCCCAAGAAAAAATTTAAATGTTTAACTTAAAAACCAAATAAATCAGAATTCCTTTTCAATGAAGAAACATGCTTACAATTTATTAAACCTTTCATGTAAAACTAAGATCATATCAGCAGAAGGTAAAGGAAATTAGTTATCAGAAACTGACCAAGATATGTTGTCCCTGTGCACATTCCACTGCGGGTGTGCATGGACCTCAACGTCTCAGCCTCAAGACATTTTTGTCTTGGCAATATGTTTACAAGCTCCCTGTGTCCTGCTTTTTTTCATACTCCATGCCAAGGGCCCAGACACTAGTGTGCACTTCCCTCTCCTCAGTTTGCCCTCTGCCACTGAATACCAGAGTGGCAAAGGCTCTGAGGAAGATGGAAATGACAGTGGGAGGCAGAATACTCATATGAATAGCCCACCTTGAAAAACTCTGGTTGCTGTAATGACAAGTAACTTCTCTTTGGATATGGAGAAACACACCTTTTAAATGCTTTCAAAGGAGAAGGGGAGCTGCTTCTCAGGAGTGCACAGTAGTTGCTGTCATGTAACTGTTACCTCTGTATGAACCATTACATCTGTACTGTGACACATTAACTAACTCACCCTAACATTAAATAAAACCAACTGTAACAATTTTCTGTACAATTGCATGTACAGAATCATTCACATCTAACAATTATATAGGTATCTTTTGACATAGTGTAACAGGGAACCCTAGCGCTGTTACTAAGAGACAGGGTGGTCCCTTTAAATCCAGAACCTTCCAGTCACAGCCGGCCGGTCAAGTAGGGGTTAAGGCTCAAGGCCTGCCAGCCAGTCAGGTGACAGCAAGAGGAAGGCCAGGATCCTACAAATGGCAAGTGGAGGGTGCAGCAGCCCAAGTGAGTTGTTTTTTTTTGGGTTTTTTTGAGAGCTAGAGCCTGGGAGTCAAACCCTGATTAGTGGGTTTACTGACTGACAGGCCTAGCTAGAGAAAGAAGGGATAGGCCCACAGCGACTGACACCCCAACATAAAGAGAAATTTACAAATACCATCTGCGAGGCTTGGGCTGCAGTGTAGGGGAGGAACAGAGCCGCAGATAGTACCCCCTGGCATCGGGGTATATAATGGGCAGCCTCCTGCTTAATTAACAACAAGGCATGGCAGGAGAGAAGGCGGGCAGTTGGCCCATAACAGGTGGGTGGGGCCACCAGTAGATGGACCCCGAGCAGGCCCACCCCTGTTATACATAGATATAATTGCTGGGTAGAAACACATGTTTCTCCTTCGAGTGCATATTCGACTATGGGTGACTCCAAAGCAATGCCCACTTCATCTAAGCAAACAGCAGCTAGAAGAAGGCTTTGCTAAACACAGTATCTGCTCTAAAGGCATGTGCAATGGCATAATGTTCCACACTAAATTCTATGCAGAACCACTGCAGACATCACAAATAGAGACACCTTGCAGGGAAGTCAGTGACATCACATGGGTTCTGATGGAGTGAAATCTGACTGCTGCCGAGTGCATTGTAGCAGCCACTCAAAAAAATCTGACACCATTTCTGATCCGGTAAGACAATCACCGGCCTGAAATTCCTGTGCTTTTATATCTTTTGGCTACATAAACAAATAGCTGAGGGGATTTTTGCAAAGACTTAATTCTGTGCTGATATACAAGGTTATCACTATAAAGATCACATACAAAGCTGCCTCAACTTTTGAAGAGTGAGGTTTTGGAAAAGAGACAGGTGAACATATTGACTAAACTGAAATATGCTGACAACCTTAGGGCAGGTACTTGGGTCTGTTTGTAAGAGGATCTGATTTGTCATTACTACTGTGTTTGGCTCTTCACCCTTGTTAGTGAGGTGACAGACACCAAAAAGGTTGTATTTATAGGTGGAACAGCAAGCAAATTTTCATGGGTTTAAACAGTACATCAGAGCTTTCAGGACTCTGTCCTGGCCCCACAGAAGCATTTGATCTTTCACCAGAGGGAACACCTAAAATCAGGTACTTGAGAAGCTTCAGTACTGACACTACTGGAGAGGCAATGACAGACTGACCATCTGCATGAGGATCAAAATCAGCTAAAATAATTGAGTATAACTTTACTAAGCTGAGGGAGAGGCTACCAAACTGTGTGCAACTCAAATACAGTGCGCAAACAAACGGTCTCAGCCAGGCTGTGGCCAATGAGATCAATTATCTGGAGTCCCACTTTACCCCGGATTTGAAGAACACTCTTATTTTAAGGAGGTAAGATACAAAGGCTGTATAAGTAATCCTGCAAGACAACAAAACAGGATCCTGGATGGTCTGGCTTATCTCTCCTGGGTCACCCTGATTGAGCGGTCCAGGTCCTGAATGGGTACACTGCAACGCTAAGGAAGGGTCCCTGAGACCACTGAGTTGGAAGCCACAGGCACAGATCTGTCACAGGAAGGAAATCCAGGCAACTTGGGGAAAAAGTCATATTCAGAGTCAAAGTAGCAGCATCCTGGTCCAAATGAAGGGAAAAATGAAACGTCACTTGACAAGAGTAGCAACTGGAATCTGGGAAACCTTGCTTGACTGGAGTCAGGGAAGTCTTGGGTCTTAACGTAAAAGGATGAAACCAAAATAAAATAAAGATGGTGAAAAGAAAACAACACTTGAAAAAAATCCAAAAACAGAAAAGGAGAGAAAAATGGAGAACAGCTGAGTTCTCAAAGCAGCTGTAGGCCAAATGAGGTCTGAATTATACAGCAGAAGTTTTATCTCACGCTACGACAACTGAGAGAAACTGAGATGCCCTTTATGCCCTCAGCATGTAGCACTGGTTGTAAGTGTAATTTATGAACACTACTAGAGCAAAAAGTTTAAATTCATGAGAATGAGTTGCAGGTGCATTCACAGTAGAATGTGCATGTGGGAACTCACTCAAAAAGAAAGGTACTGTTTCTAAAAAAACAAACAATTACAGTATACTCGGTTTAAGGGAATAGCCTTGGGACTAAAAAAGGCTATACACTCACATGAAGCGTGCACTTCTCCAAACAATTTCTTTACTAATTATCCACATAGACATTTTTTGCAGGCACTGCTACAAAATCACCCACATAGCTGAAGGTGAGTTGCAGAATGGGTCCTTTTTTACATATAGCATTTCCACCTGGATGGTCTCAAAGAATTGTTTTACACAGCCCAGTATCTAGTTAGGCCACCTCTAAACTGATACTGCTATGCTGTTAGACCCCTCAGTTATCAAGGCAAATAGCCAGAAAAACTTCCTAAATGATTTCGTTCTGCAAAAGTGGTAAGCCAAGGCTCACTTTGCAATGAGAGAACTCTCTGAAGCCTTGGCTTGAGGCTGTGGGTATACACACCTGTATTTCATCCATCTTTCTTGATGACTCGATTGCCACTTAGATGGCAGTCTTCATGGACAGATATACAAGAGGGAAAATATTGCCACAGGCCCAAACAGTGATCTCATCAATGATGCAAAGACCAGATTCACATCTCATTGTGGAACAGGGCCCTCACATAAGGAAATCTTGGACAAACCCTTAAAGAAACTAAGGGTTGTTGGATGAAAGGATGCATCTCTTCCACCAACTGGCAAATGAAAGGCTAACATTACTGCTAGATACATTTAATTGAGGTGACAAAATTCTCAAACATTTTATCTGGAGGACCTGATCAAGCTAATGTGCTTTACTTTGTACCAGAACAACTTTCCCCTGCATGTATGGGCTGGGTATTTTCACTGTTAGGGAGAGAGCACCGGGTGAGGTACTGTGATTATAGCTGACATGCAGCACTACAAGGTACAAAAAGCTGTATGTACAAAATGGATAGAAAAGACCTCATTTGGGTTTTCATCAGCTACCTCTCAACCAATGGGATAAGCTGCCTTAGCAATTACGTGCTGTCCTGCAGAAGAAAAGCCCACAGGAGAAAAGGTATCACTCACTACCACTGAATCAAGGGTAGTCCCTGTTTAACTCAAGGTTTTGGAGTCTGACTGGTCACGCTTGATTTTTTGAAGGCTGAGTTGTCAGGCCCAAAGACTGGAATAAGTTTAGTGACTTCCAGAGATTCTCCAATTCCTGTTTGAATGTGGTCCCTGTAAGGAACCAGTCACTGAGGTGGGGGTATAATACAATCCCCTGCCTCTGGACAGTGACCTTGGTATCAAGGACCTTGGTGAAAATTCTTGGGCCCAGAGATATGAAAGGGTAAGACCCTGTACTGGTAATTATCTTGACCCACTGCAAAATACAGTGCTTTGCATGTGGTCATCTTATGGTGATATGGCAGTAAGTGTATTCTAAGTCATGAGATGCAAGCAAGTTCCCTTGATGTAGCGACAGAGAGACCACCTGGAACCTGAACCTGAAGACAAATATATTATGGTTTCTTAGACGCAGGATTGGTCACTATCTCTTATTCTTTGGAATCACAAAATAGCCACTGTAAACCCCTCTTCTCCTGACACTTGGAAGAACAATCTTTATAGAACTTAACAATAGGGAAGAGCAAGCCACCTCCCACAGCAGTCTCTCATGAGAGGCGTATGGGATAGGGGACAAGGACAGGGAGTCAGGGGGTGTAATAACACAAACTGGATTGAATACCTATTCACTAGGCCTGTGCGAATACAGAACTATTCGACTCAGATTTGGCCGACTCGGATGCCAGAGATTCGATTCAGAGATCCGAATCATTTTCCTGATTCGATTCGGCCAAATCACTCTGGAAGATTTGGAGCTGATTTGGAGATTCAGCCATAGAGTATAACAGGGAATCAAGACGCTATATGGACTGAGACACTTTTTCTTCAGACCACTTCTTCCACCATTGCGGACCATTGTAACGGGTTTGTGTGTATCTATCCTCTTTCTCTCTCTGTCGCGAACCCTCTCCCACCCCTTACCCCTCCTCCCTCCCCCTGGGCTTAGTTGGCTAACATTGTATCTCCTGTAACCTAGTTGCGTTCCCCTCCTCACCCCCATCCTTCTGTTGTTAGTCCCTCGCTCGGGTGCTATGTATTTCCCTACCGGCTTTGTCAGCTTTTTTGGATTCACAATCCTAAACATTTACTAATAAATCTATAACTTTGATGTTTTTTGGCTGATTCGGATGACACTTGCAGGGATGCTAGCCTCTGCTGAGAGCAAGAAGCCTGCCAAGTTTCAAGGTTTCTGGGAAACTGCAACTCAAGCTGCTAACCAGCAAAACTCGTATCATATGTGTGTGTTAAGTCATAGTGGGGTGAAAACTGCAGGGGTCGTAGCTCTTGCTGAGGCCACAAAGCCTGCCAGGTTTCAAGGAGATAGGTGCAGGGGTTTCTGGGAAACTGCACATCAAACTGCTGACAAGTAAAATACATGACATAGGTGACATCATGTGTGTGTTTCATAGTTGGTAGGGTTGGAAGGGACCTGAGCAGATCATCAAATCTGACCCCCTGCCATGGCAGGAAAGAATATAGGAGTCAATCAACCCCAGAAAGGTTTTCATCTAGCCTCCTCTTAAAGACCCCCAGGGTAGAAGCCAGCACCACTTCTCTTGGAAGCTGGTTCCAGATCCTAGCCGCCCTGACAGTGAAGTAGCGCCTCCTGATGTCTAGTCTGAATCTACCCTCTGCCAGCTTGTGACTTATTTCTAGTCACTCCTGGTAGCGCTTGGGGGAACAGGGACTCCCCCAATGCCTACTGGTCCCCCCTGACAAGTTTGTAAAGGCCACTAGATCCACCCTCAGCCTTCTCTTGTGGAGGCTGAACAGGTTCAGATCCCTCAGCCTCTCCTTGTAGGGCCTGCCCTGCTGACCCCTGATCATAAGAGTGGCCCTCCTCTGGACCCTCTCCATGTTGTCCACATCCCTCCTGAAGTGCGGTGCCCAGAACTGGACACAGTACTCCAACTGTGGCCTGACCAGTGCTGCATAGAGGGGGAGGATCACCTCCTTGGACCTGCTTGAGATGCATCTGTGGATGCATGACAAAGTATGGTTGGCCTTCCTGACCACATCCCCACACTGTCGGCCCATGTTCATTTTGGCATCAATAATGACTCCAAGATCCTTTTCTGCTTCTGCACTGATGAGAAGGGAGTTTCCCAGCCTGTAGGTGTGCTGCTGGTTCTTCCCCCTGCGGTGCAGTACCTTGCACTTGTCAGTGTTGAAACCCATCCTGTTCTCATCCGCCTACCCCTGTAACCTGTCTAGGTCCAACTGCAGCCTATTCCTCCCTTCTAGCGTGCCCACTTCCCCCCACATCTTAGTGTTGCCTGCGAATTTGAACAGGGTGCTTTTTACCCCCTTGTCCAAGTGGCTGATGAAGATGTTGAACAGTGCAGGCCTGAGCCCTGCGGAACCCCACTGTCCACATCCCTCCAGGTCGAATACGACCCGTCCACCCCCACTCTCTGGGTGCGGCCCTCCAGCCAGTTAGCGACCCATTTGACTGTGTAGGTGTCGACGCTACAGTCCCCTAGTTTTTTAATGAGAATGGGGTCAGAGACAGTGTCGAAGGCCTTCCTAAAGTCCAGAAAGACTACGTCCACTGCTACCCCTGCATCTAAGGATTTTGTGACCTGGTCATAGAAGGCCACCAGGTTGGTCTGACAAGATGTGCCTCTAATGAAACCATTAAGGCACAGTGGGGTGAAAACTGCAGGGATGGTAGCCCCTGCTGAGGCCATGAAACCTGCCAGCTTTCAAAGAGAGAGGTGCAGGAATTTCTGGGGAACTACACCTCTGCACTTTTACCTGTGCTGCGATTTCCCATTATACCCTATGGCTGAATCTCTGAATCGCCAAATCTTTTCCAAATCTTTTCTGAATCGATTTGGAAGCTCTGAATCAATTCAGAAAGCCTAAAGCTTCTAGTGATTCAATTCGGATTTGTAGATTCGGCCTCCAAATCGTCCGAATCATCTCCGAATCCGAATCATGATCCAAAGCTTTGCACAGCCCTACTATTCTCTACCACATCTAGAATTTACTAGTCTGAGGTTAACTGGGTCCAGGCAGAACAGAAAAGGCCAAGTGGTTATGGAAGAGAACACAGGCTAGAAACACAAGTCATCTAATTAAGTGGAACAGCTGGCACATTTGTCATGGCACAACTGATCTACTTCACTGGACAATACATACAGCAGCTTTTGATGACGCAGGACAAGGGGTGATGGGATCTCCCGGCTTTCTCTGCTCAGCCAGACCTGTGGTACAGGTCTGTCTGAGTGGGGAACGCATGACTTTTCCCCACTTCCCCTGGTCCACCAGACTTGTGACCCAGGGAGTGGGTTTGCCTGAACAAGGAAGGAGTTCTTCCCGCCCAGCCGGACCGAGGCATGGATCTGACTGAGCGGGGAAAGTACCACAGCGGTAACAGATGGCTGCTCCAATAAAGCAGCGGAGTTTATTACCATCTTTTGTTGCACCATTGATTTTCCTTTCAAGTGGCACAACAAAGGATACTGACATCTATTTGCTCTGCATTTGCATGGCCATAAAAAATGTTATAGTGGGGCAAATGAGACGTGTCAGACAATGTCTGTTTCCAGTGAAAGGCAACATGATTCTTCCATCTCTCACGCATCCTGTCAAATCTCCTGTTTGGGGCCAAATGATCTGTGTGATGATGTCTGAGTTTGGCCAAAATGCTTCTGCCAATGATACTTCTGGAGCTTTCTGGGAGACTCACCAGCAAGGCGTAGATTTATACAGTCAAAGCAGTGAAGCTGCACATTGAAGAGCGCTGCTTCCATGCTGAATAGGAGTGACACTTGAACCTGTACTTATACTAAGGCAGGAGTATCAAAAATCCCAAAACCAGTGAGCACAAGCACATCAGACCCACATAAGTGTTATGGATCTTACTTTTAATTAATGCTATTCAAAGGAAGGTTGCTCACACCTGACATTACATACCGTGAGCTGTTTGTGATCGGGACCTTATCTTGCTTTTTGTGGAGCAGTTAACATATGATTTTGGATGCTAAAGAAACATTAAAGCAGACAATAGACAAATATTTGAGATCATGACAACTACATATTTTAAAATTAATATCACAATTGAATTGATATGCTGGTACCATAAAGCAACTGTTCTGCTCCCCTGACCCCAAAAATGCAGATGTTAAACTACTACCATTGCTTACTTTATTATTTCTTCTCTGTTTCCACGGCAATCTCTTTCTGAATTTATCCTTTCCCTTAAGCGTTTCATTTCTGTGTCAAGACTCTTAATGTTTCTGTTCACTTCTATCCGCTCAGGGCAAATTTCCATGGCCTGTGCAGTCTTTCCCTAAAGAGATGTTTGAAATGCTATAAAATATAACGCAGTGTTTTGAGTTGCTTTGCAACATTTTCTCCTGTGAACAGCAATAATGGAAAATAGGGCCCCAGAAACAGGAATTGGTTAATTTTTTGTGTCTATGGGCACGTCTATGTGTGTGCATTTAATGCACATTAGCCCGATTTAAAGCGCATTAAGGGCACGTGTCTACTCATGTCCACCCTTAATGCACCTTAAAATGGTGACTTAAGGCTATTAGAGCTTAAATGATCTTCTGCACTCATTACATATTGCATAGCCCTAAGTTATCTGGCAGAGTTAAAATCAAAACGATGCTACATTAGGAAATATATCAAAGATAAGCTAAACCTTATCCATTGCAAGTCACTATTAGCTGACCTAGCAATACCTATGAGAGAACTAAGATTGCACAGTAGCATCGTCTTTATGCTTTAGAGGGGAAGAGGTTGTGTAGACAAGTAATAAATGGAATGTGAATATCCAAATTCAACTGTCTATAAAGTTGCATCAAAAATGTAATACCTCCAATTCTTTTTCTTTAGCAGCTAGTAGTTCTTTGAGCTTTTTTATGGATGCCAAATGCTTTTTCTGTTTCTTTTCATAATGCTGCTGATAGTGTTTACAGTTTTCCACTTCTGAATCTGCTTGGTTTATTTCATCCTGTTTGAAATAAATTAAAATGTCAAATGTAAACTGGTTTGGTAAATTTATGAACTACTTCCTCACGTTTACTGACATAATATTATTGCTCCACTTAAAAGTTTATCAAATGTTTGCATTTATTATTATAACAACAATGACAACAGCAACAACAATAATGCAACCCCGAGACAGAAACAGCAAATGGTGAAACAGCATATGTTCAATCCTGGTAATGTACGTGTAATATGAAAATGATTCACATTGTTCTCCATCTACACACTGATACACCATCAGGAATTCCATATGACCATAAGAGTTACAGCATCCACTTTCAAAACTTTGAAACATAAAATATTTTTCTAGGTGCCAAGAGATGTATTTTTCAATAAGAACTTCTGAAATACTTTATGGAAAGTAGTTTCAAGCACTCAGTTTTCATCTATAATACACAATGAACATTTTAACTGCCATACTAGTGGTACCAGACAAGATTATATAGTCTGGTTTAATATAGTCTGGTTTAATAGTTGGTTTATGATGTACAGAATATGTTTTTTTATATATATATTGATCTGTATAATAACAAATCTTCGTGTGCATGTCTAATTCTTTTTGGAACTTTACCCAACTTCTTGTATTGACAGATGGCAGTCAGTCACTGGATAATTTTGTGATATGAAAAAGTATATTCTTTTATGAATGTAACGATGTACTGCCTTTCACATTCTTGAACATTACCTTGTTCTTGCATTATCAAAAAAGATAAGTTGCACTACATATTTTATTTTCTCAAAATCACTATAATGTTAATTTTGGGGGGCTTCTTTTCTAGAGTCAATTTTTGATATTTCCTTTTACACATCCATCAATATCTCTTTCTTTCTTCCACTTCTGTCTTCAAGCCCACTTTGCATCTGCCCCTTGAGGGGCATTCTGCAGATTTATATAGTAGCATAATATTTTCAGTATTATTTTCTAGCCTATACTTTACATATCTCAACATATTTTTTTATTTTCTGAGATTGTCACAACCTAATTGAGCAACACTTTTGTCAAGTTTTCCTCAGTTGTTCAAGTCCACTTAGAACCCAGAAATGCATATGAGTAACTTTAAATTCCTAATAATCTAATTATTCTTTTCAGAATACGTTTTATTTGTCAAGACCAAATATTATCTGTAATGACTCTGTCCACTATCCTAAGACCTAGTGAGATTTCTAACAGTTTGATGTAGCTTTGAATAAGCAAGCCATGTCTTGCTAAACTATCCCTGTTAACTCAGCTTCACAGACTATTAAAAACAATTGAGTACAATGTCTTTTTTAAAAAGAGACCAGAGATCACTATCATTCCCTTCCTCATGGGTTTTCTGCTTATAAATGTATTACAGCAGTGGTTCTAAACCTTTTTAGTCTCAAGGGATCCTTTGCTAGACTCCAGGCACCTCTCAGAAAATGCCAGCTCTTAGCCTTCACTTTTTTTTTTGTCTATGGAAAAATAATAAAACAATCATGCCTCAAAGAACTCCAAAAAACTGCAACAGGTCAGAAATGTTTTTGATTTCTATTTGAAATCCCTAGGTTTAATCTGCGAATATTGTGTATATGTTTACACACCTAGCAGTGCTAATTTTGTATGGCACCCTTCAAAGGATGTCACAACACCCCAAAGTGCCACGGCACACTGTGTATCACTGTGTTAGGGTATGCAACTGATATGCGTTTAAACATACAAACCAGTAACAAACCCACTGGATTTGTTAAATGTTGAAGATTTCTTTTATTTATAGCTTTATACTGGCAGTCTCTGGAAAACTACCCAATGCCATTTGAATATATAAGTCAGATGAAATAGATGTATACTTTTAAAAATTGTGGGGGTTTGTGTGGTTTCTACCTTGATCGGCCCAGCTATCAAATCTACTTGGTTAATTTTTTCTTTAATTTCTTCAAATTTACGTTCAGCAGCTATTAGAATGATTTTCAATTTGTCCATTTCTGCCTTTCGTTGTTCCATATCCTGTTTAACAGATTCCAGCTTATTCTTGTTTTCTTGGGCTTCGTCTTCCTGTTAGAGGATAAAGAGTTTTAAAAGGGAAACACACTTCTGTATTTCAGTCTGTGCTGGTTCAACAAAAAAGTAAAGCCACTGATTAAATATAAAAAAATCACCCACAGCATATATCAAACATAAAAAGAAGAGTGATCAATACATGTTAGCAGTTCAGACATGTAGAAAATGGGTATGGGCAGCTAAAGATATCAGGGGAAAATCTCTGCGTAGCAAAAATAATGACAGGAGATTTTTTTAAATATATTTATTTAAATGTTCAAAAATACTTAGAACACAATTAAGTCCTAGCAGTAGTAAAGACACATTACTAGGCACAGATGTTAACAATGTTAATAAATATTTTTGTTCTATATTTGGAAACAAGCAAGACTGTATGTTTTTTCATATAAGGAAGATTAAATGCTTATTTTGCAATGTCTTGTCTTTGCATGCAGAATTAGAAAAAAAATCTTCTGAAATCTAGAAATTTCATCTACTAACCAGCTTAAAGACATAATTTTAATTCTGTACATCTTACTAGTGTGATTACAACAGAACTACTGTCAGCAGCTGTGGTATCAACTGTAATAAAGGATGTAGATAATAATACCGTATTTACTCAAATCCAAGATGTGTCTTCCCCCTCGCCCCATTAAACATGGGGGGAAAAGAAACCTCGGTCTGGATTCAAGTATGGTCCAGAGCAAGCAGCTGCTGCAGCTCCAACTCTGGCTCTGACTCAGGGAAATTTGAGCAGCGTGGAAAGGGAGCGCAAGGGAGTCTGTGCTGTGTGAGGAATGAGCACAGGGGAGACTGCATGGTGTAGGGGAGAAAGCAGGGAGTCAGCATGGGGAAAACTGTGCAATAAAGAGTGGGGGTGAGCATGGGGAAAACTGTGTGGTATAAGGAACACAGGTGAGATCACATGGTGTGGGGGTGAGCATTGGATGACCATGCCACGCACAAGGACACGTGTTCTGTGCCCCAGACTGGAGCCAGAGTCAGAGCCACTGCAAAGGATAAGTAGTGTGGGCAACAAGTGGTGGATTGAGGAAATGGCCATGGGAGGAGGTACCATAGGAAGGCAAGTGGCAGGCTGGATAGAAAGCAGGGAGCAGGCACAGAGAGATGCAGGCACTGGTGGGGGGGTGTAAATGGTAGGGACAAGTGGTAGGGGCAGACTGCCTGTCTCCCCACTGCTGCTTTCCATACTACTTGTCTCCCTGTTTCTGCTTTCCCTCTGCAGCAGTGGGGGTGGGGGTAGGCGGGGATGAATTTAAGATGACATAATAATTAGATTCTATGCATGGAAAATTACAACAAATCCATGTATATGAGCGAATTACTGGGAGAGAAGGAGGAGGAAGATCTTAAATTCAAAATCATCTTGGATTCAGAAAAATATGATTAAAAAAAAAAAGAGTACAAAAAGCAGCCATAAAAATCATTCAACAACCCAGAGAATATGTTTTACAGCAAAAGATCTGGTATAGTGCAACCTCTTTAGTTGACCAAAAAGACATGAGGTGATTTGAATTCACTGCATAGTACCCTCACAGAAGAAACTGCTGGAAATTGGGTGGAGTGAATATATAAGGGCACTTTTACATACGATACAGCCACAGCGAGAAAAAAAATAAAGAAGATGATCCACAGGAAAGTGCCTATTAAAGTTCAAATATGGCATTTTTTAAACAGTGAGGATGATCAACGATTCCCAAGAAAGCAGATGTACTGAACTCCATTCATCGGAACATGGTAGAATGCAATGGCTTGTGATATATCAGGAAAACTGGATGAGCTAGTAGTCTTTCTGACCAAGAACTACAAACACATAGATTACGAAATTCAGTTCAGAAAAACAGGGACGGTAACACCAATTTGAAAGTTTCTCAAACTTTCCATCACGTGTATCCTAGCTGATGCTCTTCAGAGTACTTGCTTTCCTCACACTCTTAAACTTATTCATGTAATGATAAATTAAATGTGTTATATGTGGTGATATGTTTGATTATAGTCTTCCATATCAGCAAGGATCAAACTTCCTGCAAGCCTTGGTGAAAGAGAGAGAGGGAGAGAGAGAGAGATAATTAAAGTGCTAATGTTGGAGTCGAAGGTGCTAAAAATAAAGCAAAGGAAAGGAGCTTCTATAGATATATTAATATAGGAGGAAAAGTGGTAGATAACTGCAAGAACAACCAGCTGACTCCGATATGTTTAGGAAAACTCACCAAAAATGAACTAACAACGAACAAGAAAAGTGTTTTAAGGAAAAAAAATAAAAAGATCGGTAAGTATGAAAGCTTCAGGCTTGAGCAGATTCATTTCTGAAAAGCAGGTACTCAAGAGAAGATGATGTAATGAGAAATCTAGGGGGATAAAAACAGACCAAGAGAGAGGGAGTCTCTGCCAGTGTGAAATGAACCTGCTGGAGCCAGCCAGCCTAGGACAGCCCACTAGAATTCTCCCTGGCTAGTCTAGCTGTACGTATTCTAAACAAAGGTATCTAACTATAACTATGGTATTGTATAGGTGTAGTCATTAGTAAATGCAGTAATATTGTCATATAGGGTTAGTTACTCTTACAGTGTTTTAGAACCGACACTTAAAGTAATCATGAAACTGATACTAGTCTTTGGGTATAATAAAGGAAATGTAGTTGAACATCTTCTATGGTCAAATTCCAACAATTAACAGCAATAAAAAAACCCACAGAATTTCCATATAAGAAAGAATATTTCTTACTAGTGTAGAGATGTCCACTGACTGGTATTCTTCTATATTCTCAAGATCTGTTATGTCTACTGTTATTCTTCTTCTTTGGGTCTGAAATAGAAATAAACTTTTATTTCTTGTTTTAGAAAAAAGTTAAAGATAGTCCACACTAAAACAAAGACACTTTCAATAATAAATAGACACTCAAAAGAAAGAAGATTAAAAAACAAAACTAAAGAAAAAAAGACATTCTATTTTCTTATTATTATTACTGTGTGGAATCCATTCCTATGTTATAGGGAAACCTGATCCTAAAAGTAACGAACATTTTAATAAACTGAGCTCCAGTGACATGTTTCCTAAAATAAACATATATTTTATAGACATTAGGGGCTGGAAAGGACCTTGCGAGATCATCCAGTCCAGCCCCTTGCCATAGGAAGGAAGTCTGCTGGGGTCAAATGATCCCAGCAAGATAAGCATCCAAATGTTTTTTGAATGAGTCCAGAGTAGGTGCTTGCACCATGTCTGGGGGGAGTCTGTTCCAGACCCTGGACACTCAGACTGTAAAAAGGTTTTCCTTATGTCCAGTCTAAATCAGCCTTCCAGAAGTTCGTGGCCATTAGACAAGGATGTAAAAGTTTATTTTCTTTCCAATAGCTTAATTCCACTCTATGCAGCAATAAAACACTGCTAGCAATTCAAAACTCAGTACACATTCATCTATAACAAGATGCTATGAAACCGATCCAGATAATTTGGGTAAGTACCAAAACTTGATTTAAGTGGAATTTAGGTGAATTCATTTTGGTCTGTAAAAATCGCTAGGCACAGACTTCATAGCATGTTCGGATTTGAACAAGTTCAAGCAGATAAGTGTCATATTCCAACTAATTAGATTAATTTATCAATTTAAGCAGCATCTATTATTTATCTATTATCAGTATTTATTATTTATCTCTTTATTATCTATTATTCTACCTGCAAATCTTTCTGGTGGTGATGATGATGATTAAGTTCATCTTCCTTTTTTCTTTTCTCATTATCAATGGAACGTAAATGTTGCTGAAACACTGACAACCGTGCCTTTTGGGTCTCAATTTCTTTTGCCACATGACTTAAACAAAAAATATAAATATATAATTTGTCACAAAATTATTTGATAGTCTCTCTTCAGTTTCTAGCTGATACAGCAATCATGTTATATAAACCACTACTTAGAACCTTGTTGATAAACTTGGCAGCAAGGCTAAATACCTGAACTAAAAAAAAGATATTACTTCTAAAAATGCTAATATATCTTAAGGTTGTCACAACCCAAAGGGTGTGATTTTTATTTGTGTGCGCTTCGGCACTACTAAATTGTCCCCGCTAAATTGCAAGCTTCTTTGCATGGTGGAGTTTTCTGCTGCAAAAGAGAACCCCGGTGCAAGGGAGAATTTCCCGCCGATTTGAAGCTTTCTTTGCAGGGTCCATTTCTATGTTGCAGCACGGAAATGCTCGTTGCAAAGAGTTCCCGCCATTTGTATGCAGATTCGAGTCCCATTATTGGCCAGTTCTAAATTATTCACACGTGGCGGCTAGTGATTGGCTTGCTAGCCGTATAAGAGGCTTGAGTGGTTTCCGCACAAGTTGGAGGACTCCACGAACAAGGGAGGAGGAGACTTCACGCTGTGTGAAGATCTCTAAGCGCTGCGGATCCTCACGGACCCAGTGCATTTGAAGCAGGCTACGGAGATCTGATCTATCTCTAGCCTCTCCCCGTCGCCGATAGAATTCCTAGACGTACCCCACCCGCGCGCAAAAGAACTGGACCCACGGAGCCTAGCAAACTTCGTGTGAGTTGGTTCAGAGCTCTTCCGGACGAGTACTTTCTTCGGCTGACGTGACGGGCTCGCGTGTTCAGAGCCTTCAGCCGGATTGGGCTAGAGTTCACGAGTTTAGAACTCTTGTCCGCCTCTTTCCTTTTTCTTCTCTGTAACTGCAACTGAAGCAAGCTTTCCAGCCTACACCATTGCCATCTCGGTGTAAGTAAACAATCTTTTAAACTACCGATACACGTCCGTGCCTAATTCCAGAGCGAAAGCCACCCCTCTCCGCCCCCGCGTGCCTGGGCTGCTGGCCACAGCCCACGTGCAGCGCGAAAAAGGGCCCGGGGCACTCCCGGCCCGCACAAAGGTCAGCTGGGCAAGTGCCTCCAATCAAAGCTAAAAATCATTGAGTAGTATAAAATATACAGGGGTGACCACCAGTATCTGGGGGAACGTTTGTTCACCAGAGCGCCCCAAGGGATGACGACTAGGTCGAATGGTCATCAACTACTACAAGACCGTTTCAGGCTGGACATAAGGAAGAATTTCTTTACTGTCCGAGCCCCCAAGGTCTGGAACAGCCTACCACCGGCGGTGGTTCAAGCGCCTACATTGAACACCTTCAGGAGCAAACTGGATGTTTATCTTGCTGGGATCCTATGAACCCAGCTGACTTCCTGCCCTTTGGGCAGGGGGCTGGACTCGATGATCTTCCGAGGTCCCTTCCAGCCCTAATGTCTATGAAATCTATGAAAAAACTTGTCCTAATGCTTTCTCATACTGTTCTTTTTACAAAGGATTTCAATCACTAAATCTTTCAGTATAGCACTTTTAGTGAGATGTTAATTCACTTAACTGCAAAATGCTTTACTTCTACATATATTGGAAAAATACTTCTATATAACTTTTCATCATTAGAAATGTGATCAGCATCTCTGCTGACTACAATTTTAAAAAGATCCCTGATGCTAGGTTTCAATGTTGTTGAAAATGGACAGATTAAAAATGAGCCAAAATGTCAGGTTTTGTAGGGGCGGGGGTTTAATTTTGACCAAGAAAAATTATGCACGTATTTAAGTTTCAAAAGATATAAATATATATCTATTTACTTTATCTATACTACAGCCCAAATCCCAACATAAAACTATTTAGTAATGCTAATTGTGCTTCATATTAACCACACATGCCACAAGCTCAAAACCCATCTAGAAGAAACTCAGCTATCTGAATTGATTACAAAAATATTTCTGGAAAAAATATGTATTTTAATAAGTCTAAAAAAAAGGGAAAAGCATTTTCCACAAGAGAAAAAAAAAAAAAAAGAGTTCACTTGATAGGAAAAGAAAAGGTCAGTGGAAGAGTCCCTGCTTTTCAGTATGGAAGTTGTTGGGTTTTTTTAAGATTATTTTTGCTATAGAACCTTGAATCCCTTCACAGAGGAGCTGAAAGCCAAACAGTAAATAGAAAACAAACATCACCCTGACAATCCTATACTTTTACACTTCACCAATACATGACATTACCTTATTTCTGCTTCCACATCTTTACTTAGGAACTTAGGCCTGGTGTTGTCAGAAGAATAATATCGTCTCTCAAACACCTGATCACCTTCAGCAGTGAAAGCTTCTTTACAATTTTTTGGAGGTTTATTGCTCTGCATTACTTGACGAGCTACACGATTATTCTGAAAAACAACACGTTTAGCATACTCACAAAGCAATGGTTTTAAATAGCAGCAAAGCTGGGGGGAGTGTAGATACATCCTACCCTCCAGTGTATCTACTACTCCCCGCAGCTTGAGGGTAGGGCTAGGATTCAGAGTGACCTAGACAAATTGGGCCAAAAGGAATCTCATAAGGTTCAACAAGGACAAGTGAAAAGTCCTGCACTTAGGATGGAAACCTCCCATGCACCAGTACATGCTGGGGGCTAACTGGCTGGGCAACAGCTCTGCAGAAAAGGACCCACAGGTTATAGTGCACAATAAGCTGAATGAGTCGGTAGTGTGCCCTTGTTGCCAAGAAGGCTAACAGCATACTGGGCTGCATTGGTACGTGTGTTGCTAGTTGGTCAAGTGAACTGATTATTCCTCTCTATTCAGCACTGGTGAGGCTACAACTTGAGTACTGTGCTCCGTTTTGGGCCCCCCACTACAGAAAGGATGTGGACAAATTGGAGAGAGTCCAGCGGAGGATGACAAAAATGGTGAGGGGTCTGGGGCACATGACTTTTGAGTAAAGACTGGGGGAACTGGGCTTATTGAGTTTAGAGAAGAGGAGACTCAGAGAAGCCTTAATAGCAATCTTCAACTACCTGAAGGGGGGTTCAAAAGAGGATGGAGCTGGACTGTTCTCAGTGGTGGCAGATGACAGAACAAGGAGCAATGGTCTCAAGTTGCAGCAAGGGAAGTTTAGGTTAGATATTAGGAAGAATGTTATCACTAGGAGGGTAGTAAGACATTGGAACAGGTTACCCAGAGAAGTGGTGGAAGCTCCATCCTTGGGGGTTTTCAAAACCCAGCTAGACAAAGTTTTGCAAGAGATAATCTAGTTGGGGCTGGGCCTGCTTTGAGCAATGGGTTGGACTAGATAACCTCCTGAGGTCCCTTTCAGCCCTAACTTTCTATGATTCTAGAATTCAAAGCATATTTAGATTATATTTCAGCAAAAACTTTTTTTTTACTTCTAGAACAGTAAAGCATTGGAATAGAGCTCCCAGGAAAGTTGTTGTAACCTCCTTTATTAACAATTTTCAAGAAGAGGTCAGAGAAGCTGACTGTTAATGAAGGAGGTACCACAATTTCCCTGAGATAGTCTAGGAACAGTACATCCTGCGTGAATGCAGGGGGCTGGACCAGATGACAGGTGAGGTCCTTTCCAGCCCTATGAATTCATTACTTTATGTTGATATTGATTTTAAAGGCAGACAATACCAAAGTAAACTGTGCAGTAAATCCTCTACACGAGATGATCTATTGCACAGTATATTAGTCTACTGTGCAGTAAAGCATCACCATCTACACGTGCTCACATTTACTTTGCAGTAAATCAGTCTCCTGCACAGTTAGCTACTACCTATTCATAGATGTTAGGGTAAGAAGGGACCTCAATAGATCATCGAGTCCGACCCCCTGCATAGGCAGGAAAGAGTGCTGGGTCTAGATGATCCCAGCTAGACGCCTATCCAACCTCCTCTTGAAGACCCCCAGGGTAGGGGAGAGCACCACCTCCCTTGGGAGCCCATTCCAGACCTTGGCCACTCAAACTGTGAAGAAGTTCTTCCTAATGTCCAATCTAAATCTGCTCTCTGCTAGCTTGTGGCCATTATTTCTTGTAACCCCCAGGGGCGCCTTGGTGAATAAAACCTCACCAATGATGATGTTAGGGTCAGAAGGGACCTCAGTAGATCATCAAGTCCGATATATAAATATAGATAGTATTCCCAGCCTCTGCTCGCTTCTCAGAACAGCCAGCTACCCCTGACATGGAGCTGACTGCTCTGGGGAGCAAGTGGGGGCTGGGAATCTAGCCCTCGCTTGTCCCCTAGAGCAGCTGGCTCTGTGCTGGGAGGAGCTGGCTGCTCCAGCGGACAAGGAGGGCTGGATTCCCAGCATCCCCTCTACCCTCCCTCTTGGAGCAAGCAGCTCCATGCCAAGCAGGGCAGCTGCTGGTGAGCCCAGTGACCCCCCACCTGGCAGGGGGCTCACCCACAGCTGCCCCATCCCCTGGACAGACCCCAGCAAACACCTCTGCCCAGCAGGGGGACTGCTGGCAGCTGTGTCCAGAAATGTTTGGGGCCAGGAGAGCTCTTCCTGCTGCACGGGCAGCTCTCTCTTGATTCCATACATATTAGGTCCCCTCTCAATATGCATGGGGCCAAGAGACAGCTGCCGCTGCAGCTGACAGAGCTCTCTTGGCCCTGTGCCCATTGGGACCACCCCGTGCCTCTTGTCACCCCCCTGGGCTAGGAGGACAGGTGGAGCCTAGACTTCCTCCTAGCTTCTGCAGCAGAGCAGAGCAGGGCAGGACCAGCCCTTTACTGGGCTGCTCCCAAGAGGGAGCACATGTAGATGTGCTCCCCCTGAAGCCTTACTGCGCAGTAAAAACCTACTTCGAATTAATATCACATGTAGATGTGCCCATTTATTGGTATAGCAGACTTTATTTCAAACTAATTTTCACAGATGCACCTACTTCAATATCTGCATTTTTTAGCATTATCTGCTGCAGTGATATCATTGTTCTGCAGGCTGGATCCAACTCACAGTGCCATGTCATCCCACCCCCAGGGCTTCTGCTGAGGCCAGGAATTTGGAAGCAGGGTGAGAAGGGCAGGGCCTGTTGCCAGATTCTGGGGACAGATCCTCATTCGGGATTTTTTTCAGTGCAGAAGGGTGAGCAATGGTTGTGCTTCTCCAAGCTAACAGTGGCCCAGGCACTCACACAGTTAATACTCCTGCTGCCAGTCACTCTGCTACCAGAGGTAAATCTGTAGTCCAGATCTGGCCCAGGAGAACAAATGATTTTGCCTCCCTGATCTAGTGCTGCAAACAACAACAACACAAAAAGTTGCTTGATCCCTTTTTTAATTATTTTTAACCATCTTTTGCAATTGTTTCTTTGCAGACAATATCCATTTTAAACTTGAACCAAACACAATGTTGGAGTTTAGTCTTACTTTAATTAGCAGGACTGTTTCTATCTTCCGTATGTCAATCAAACAATTGGCAACCATTGCATTATCTATTTCCAAAGCTGTAAGGACTGATGGGAATTCTGAATGATAGACTGCCCTACAAAAAAGTGGAAAAAGACAAATTGTACATGCATGGCCAGTTATAAAAATCCAGTGATCTTATCTTAGAAGATGCACTGCATATTGCTGTAAAGTCAAGTGGATTAGGGTGCAGAACCAACAGTTAAAATACCATACTTAAAGCTCACCTCTGTGTAACCTCATAAATTTCATCCCGAAATCTATTTACAATTATTTGTGGCCGAATCCCAGATGCATAACATCCTGACATCAAGGTTAAAAGTGTTCTCTCATCGTTATGATTATCACAACAAAATGCCAGAAGCAGATTCTTTAAACAAGATTCAACAGCCAGAGCAAGTTCAGCATCTTTGAGACGAATGAAAGCACCTAAGAATATGCAACAATGAAATCACATCAGATTAGAAAACTTATTGATACCAAGTCCAGGTTCATAACTATTAGTATCCGAAAACATTTATCTTAAACTAGCAGGACTGGTAGATACTGGTTCAATTACTGCTTTGATAGAGTGTAACAAAGGGTCAATTAATGGGCTAGGTATTCCTACCTTAGGAGTAGAAAATGCAGAACCAAAGAGCATTGTACACCTTATTAACAAATATTGTTCAATAAAGTCTCCGGTTCATGTCAGAAGGTGAGCACAGGGACTCTGGTGGCAAGCTTTTTAAAGTGGTCCTTACCTACAGGTCCAACAGGTTTATGTTTAAAACGCCCTTGTCTGTAGGCTTCTTCAACTGCTTCAAGGAGGACTGGCATGTGTTGCCCAAATCTCTTCCACTGATTTGTTTTACTCTCTCGCAGCTCCCTCAGCTGTCTCTGCTTGGCATCCACTGCTTGTCTCGTTTCATGTTCTTCTCTCCTGAGAAGAAAAGTGACTGCTGAGCAATCATGTAATAGCTTATCTTGTCTTTAATTAAGAAAACAACTTTTGAGAACATCTCGTCTCTCAAAAGTTACAGTAATGAAGATCTAATAATATCAAGGTAAAATTAATTTCAACTGGAAGGTGACTTTTAAGCTCCAAGAAATGTAAGGGACAATGGGAGACCACCAAGGACCATCCTCATTTTTGTGTCGCATGCTGATTTATACAATAGTGGTATACAAAGAGAAGTAGCACACTACAAACAGGGGTAACCACAATGCAAGTAGGAAGAAAGATTTCCAACAAAACAACCATATACTTTTTGAAGTCATATTAAAAATGTGTTAAATTTTAACTGTTAGGTATAAATATGTAGAAAGTAGAGAGAGTAACGTTAAGGCATATTTAGAAAGCAAAGTGCAAGCTAGAATATTTAACATAAATTGCCCTACAAATGAAGTGAAGAGACCTATAAACATGGCTTGGTCATTTATCACATGGGTATGGCCATGTACAGTCTACACAGACAAGTGTTAGCATATTAGCAGAATTCAAATGATGCCACAGTAATTGCATTCGGTGGTAATTATGGTAAATAGTGCCTCCCAGAAACAAACTGTTCTAAAAGCAGCAGCAGAAATAGTAGGAATGTTAAGTTGCTCAAAGCTAACAACAGTCTGCATAAGTAATACTAAGGGTGCACCAATAAAGATTTTTGGGATGATACTGATGGCTGATTATTAATGAACCATAATGTCAATTTTTCTTTTATTGGTGCCGATACTATATCGAGCAATGTATTGCTGCACCTTTAAGTAATGCACCAGCAGCAAGCAGCATCAATTGTTAAATCTCTACCTACACTACAGGAACACCACCACCATTGCCCATTACTAGGTCCACCTGCCAATGTCTGTTTTAGAAATCCAATTTTATATAAAATCTGCCTGCTATTGCTGAAGAAGAGGAGTTGGCTATGACATGGGCATCCAGTAATCATCCTTCCATAATACAGTAAATCCTCCCCGGGGGGCCATCCAGCCCCACGCCCCCATTCCCCTCATCTAGCTTCAGCCCACCACATTCAGGCTTGACCATGTTCTGCCCCCTGACCTCATTCCCCCCAGCGGTTTGGGTCCGGGGCTGCTCACCCCTCACCTGACCCTATTCCCTCACCTCCTTGTGCCGCTGCTTCCTCCACAGGGGCGGGGGCTGGCTGTGCTGAGACAGCCAATCATAGTGTGAATAAAGTTTTATGGACAGACAGACAGACAGACTAAGGCTTTTATAATATTAGAATAATCCAGCTTTTAACAGCAGTAGCTTCTTCTGCATCTAGCTAGCTGGCCAGAAATTCCAGTTAATAGAATGTGCCGGTTACTAAAATTCCTCTTAAATGGCTTTTACTGTACCTTCTAAAAATGAAACCTACAGATATTTCCGAGTTGTGAATAATATGTATTAAAGTTATATCAAACAACAAGAATGCACTTTTTGTAGAAAACAATGATTAAATCAAGGCTTCCTGACCAGTGATTTAAATCAAATCCATTCTGTTATTATCCCCCTATGTCAGCTCCTACATGTCACAGAATATATTACTACAGATTGTTTTACTAGATGCTTAGAAAAGGAAAATTCATTTCTAAATTAACAGCTACCATTGTACAAATGTGTCTATTTTTTGGTGGAGAATTAATCATAGTGCCTAAAATCAGATTACAATTGTAGTTTTTAATTAGGTGTAGAGATATCCCCAAGATAATCTTACAGAAAATATATAATCTTACACTAAATTAATGTATATTGGGAAATGTAAAACTACAGTGCAAATTGAAATTTAATGCTCCCGGGAATGCTAGGAAAATACAGGCAACATAAACGATCAAACACCATTTGCAATAAAGTTAGACAGTCATGTTTAAATGAAAACTTACTTTAGTCTGGCATGTTCTTCCTTGTACTTATATATAGCCTGCTGAATCAGATCCAGCTGTTGACTAACCGTGCTTTCTTGATCACCCAACATCTTTAACTGTTCTTTCAAGTCGGTGATTTTTCTCTGTTTTTCCAACTTTTCAAGTTCCGAAATCTGCTCAGCACTAACAGTATAGATTACAATTCAGTATTTTTAAAACATGAAGTACAAATGACAGAGAAAGACAGAACTTAAAAACATTGTATAATTCTCTGAGGCATGTACTATCTTTGTGCAAGCTTTATTAAGCAACAAAAATAGGGGTGCACCAATAAATATTTTTTTGGCCGATACCAATGACCAATTATTAACCAGACATATTGGCCAATACTGATCCAATAGTCGATATGCAGCCTGGCAGCTTGGAGAGCAGCCTCTTGCCAGTAAGTCTGTGGGAGAAAGGAAGGTGGAGGGGGCAGATCGAGCCCCCATGCTGAGGGAGGGAGTGGATCGGGGTAGGGGCAGGCACTATTCAGCCAGGGGCAGGCTGTGGGACAGTTTGTCCAGGGGGCGCAGCAGGGTGAGGAGGTGGTGTGGAGGGGTGGGTAGCTCCCTGCCACTGCATGCACCCCTGGGGGAAGTATGAGGGGACTGTGCCCCCCTGGATTTGTATGTGGGGTGAGGGTGGGCTGCCTGCTGTGGGCTCAGGGCCAGGGCAGGTGGCAGGAAGGGTGGCTATGGGGTGGGCTACAGCCAACGCACCCCGCAGCCACCCCTCCCATTGCCACCACCACCCACCGCACCCTCGCCTACCCTACACACAGCCCCAGCCCAACGCTCCCTCTCGCCAACATAGCCCCTAGCCCAAGCAAGCAGCAGGGAGCCCACCCCTGCCCTGTGCACAAATCTCGGGGGGGCATATGCCCTCCATGCCTCCCCTCGGGGTGCACACAGCCTTAATTATTTCCAAGGGGCTAAAAGCAAGCTGCAGAAGTGTGGCTAAAGCAGAAGGCCCCAAGGTCTTTTTCTGAGTGACAGCAACGTAAATCTTTATAGACATTATAACTAGTCTGGTCACCAAAGCGAAAAAAGCAATTGACATATCCAGCTAACCAGTGTTAATCTAACCTAATCTAATCTAATTAGAGCAAAAGAGTTTACAAGATGGCCTTAAAATAGATAATATAAAAATACTATATTATAGCTTTGATTTAAAACTGTTATTTGCTGCAGTGGATGTAACCAAACGTTTCCTGTAATAGATACATTAAGTACTTAAATAAAAGGTAAGCAATCTTGTCAGTGAAGATGATAAAACAAGGAGAAGCCTGGTGGCAAGGAACATTCCAAGATGGTAAAGTCAAGAGATAAGAAATCCTTCCTACAAAAAATTGCAGTTTTTTCAGATTAACACTTTCCAATTAACACCTAATTAACACTTTCCAAGACCATATGAAAACCGATTCAGTCAAGTCACCAACGTCTGAGTAAAACAAAGAAATTCAAAGAAACTCAAAGAAATTCAATCCATATGCCATATCTGTTCATAGCTTACTCTAAGAAACATTCTGTTTGAGTAAATCAACAGGAACTGTATAGAAATTTGAGCAAAACCAAAATAAACCACTGCCAGTCTGCATGCCACTCTCCTGAGTCTCCCTGAGAGGGAGTGAGACTCTATATTGTGATGTCATGAGTAGCCAGATACTGGGATAACTACATACTTTCAAGATGCAGTAGGAGGTCAGGCTATGGAACTAATCTCCTGCCTCTTATGAGAAGTCAACCTACCAAACACACACAGTCTAGACAACAACATTATTGAACAGAAAATTGGCTAGACTGTGATACATTCTACCTGTATGGAAGATCCAAGTGAAAGTGACACACATTGATTATAACAAATTACCCCAAACAAAATTAAACATCACTAAAATAAAGACAAAAGAAAAAAGCAAGTTGATAATTGAATGAGCAGATGTAGTGTTGTAAAACTACATATATAAATTCTACATAAAAGGTTGCTCCAGTTAATAATATTTTCTGTATTTGGCAAATCCCCCCAAAAAAGAGAAGCAGACACTTATCTTTTTTACCACAGAAACTGACTAAGATTTTTCATTGTGTTTGTGTGTCCTAAACACACTCCTTGCTTCTCAATCCATTGGCATAATTTAGCAATGTTCAGTTAGAACAATAGCATTTCAGAAAATAAATTTTATTAAAAAGCAGCTTTTTTTTTGTCCAATCAATCATCAATCAATCACTCAATAAACAAACAGTCCTTCAATTACAGAAAGAAGTAGTTTTGCCAGAAGTCTTTACAGTGATAGAGCCTGGGAATTACTCACTCAACCTGACATTGCTCAAATGGCTAAATTCTTGCGCTGGAGGCAATTTTCTCATCCAAATCAGAAAAGCTCATTCACTCCATGATACATCTTACATTATAATTATACATCCCTATATATTATATTAATATTATATTGTAATTAATTATATGAATATAATTATATTAATAATATTAATTATAACATTTACCTATTTTTCAGTTCTTCAATCCGTTTGCGTAATTGTACATCGTTTTGCTCCAAGTGTTTTAATTCACTTCTTGAGCGATTATAAAGTGCCTATAAAGAAAATGAGACACGTAGTTTATTCATTCTTATTTCTGTTGGCTTGTGTGGTCTTCACAAAACAAAATTTATACCTGCAGTATTTTGACAGGTCAGCTATCTCTGATGAATGTTCTCTCACAATATTTCAAAAGAAGATTAGTACTTTAGTTTCAAATCAGTTCTTTTTCTAATTATCTAATTATATTAATGTGACCCTAATAAACGTTTAGTAGTTTTCAAGCAGGAAATTTTGCACTAATTAACTTTTATTTCAGTAAACCTCTGCACAAGATGCAGGAGTCCACCTAGCTCAGGGGTGAACAATTATTTGGGTTGGAGGGCCATTTAATGAGTTTTGGTGATCTGTTGAGGGCCTTGTGTACATACACATGCTCACTCACACCCACTCTCTCACACACAAGCTCCCTGCAGCCAAGCTAAGGCTGGCGCCAGAGCAGCAGCAGGAACATAAGCTCACCTGGGGCTGTAGCATCTTATCTCAGCTCCTCCCTGTGCCCCACCACCATGCTACCCAACTTGGCTGACACCAGCAGGCAGGAACAGGGTTGAGAGCCGGACTGTCAGGAGTGGGAGTTTGGTGTCTGTAGCCCCGCAGAGCTAGACTGTGTGGGGTTGGGGTAAAATTCCTCGGCATCTTGGCACCCCACATGCACTGTGCAGACCCAGTCTTAGGGGGACTAGGGTGGGTGACTCAGTTCACCCCCTTGCCTGCCCCTCTTTCTTGGCAGCCAAGTGAGGCAGTAGCTTCTGCTGGGGCAGCGGGGAACACGGTGTGGAAGCAGCCTCGCCTGCCCACCCAGCACCACAGAGTCATACTCCATCTATCAGGCTGCCACGCAGTCAGGGCTGTTTCACCCAGCATTCCCTGCCATGGCAGTAAACGCCAGAGACAGAGCTGCCATCCATGGCCCAACAAATTGATTCTATCTGGTCCGTGCGGGGACAGTGGCTTTGGCTCCAGCCTCTGCTGGCATCGTGGGGTGGACAGCATCAATTGGTGGGCTAGATATGGCCCATGGGTAGATTTCTAGGTAGATTTCAGAATTGGGGCTATCATTAAAGGCTCTGGAAATTTTTTTCAACCAACCTCAGCTTCGTTGTGTGCTTTTCTTTTTGCTTCCACATCTTCTTTCAAAGAAATACACTGAGGCTTTAATGCCTGTGTTTCTTCACTTATCTTTTCTAATTTATCTCTGATGACCTCATACTTTTTCTCTGCTTCACTTACTTTAACCTTTAAAGCAAAATAGAGAACAAATTTGTTCAGAACTAAATGTGATTGTTATCCAAAAGCTGTTTGTTGGATTGTGCAAAATGAGTCCTCTCTGACTCCCTTAGGATGGGGCACATGACTCTTAGAGATACCTGTCCTGG